AACATTTACAAGTGGATTCCAGATCTTGAAATGCAGCAGGCATGTTTTCCTTAATTATGTAGAGCTGAAAAACACTATAAATTTCGTTTAACATTTACATATTAAAGTCATTTATCATTTTAATTGTGTACATGTGTGAAATAATTTTTTAAAAGAAGACAAATTTATTTTTATTTTATGTGTATGGGCACTCTGCCTGAATATTTATATGTGCACCATGTGTATTCAGTACCGGTAGGGACCAGAAAGGGCCATCCCATCCCTGTAACTGGCGTTCAAGCTATGCTGGGAACTGAACCTGGATCTTCTGCAAGAACAGCCAGTGCTCTTAACTGCTGAGCTATCTCTGTAGCTCCTAAAAACGAAGTTCTAAAATGATAAAAAGGCGTCTAGTTTCGCTTCCTGAGTCAAGCAGCTAGTGTCCAGGGCAGATTCGGTTCTGGACCTTCTCCCCTTGCAGTTCAGTCGGCATCCTCAGTCCTTCCTCATACCTCCTCTATTTCCTTTCACGTCTTTCAGCCTGGCTCTTACTGCTCATTACTGTGATTTTACAAAGGAAATCTGTTCAAGCTGAAAGAAATCCTCTTAGAATTTTTGGTTGGTGCACGATATTTTAAAGTTAACTTAAAAATAAAAATCATTGTCTTGAGATGCTGGCTTTTTTAAAAACAAAGTCATGATACCAATTTCTATTTTCTTTAGACTTGGTAAAGAGGACTGCTGTTTGTCTTGCTGTCTTTGTGAGCAGAGTGATTCCTTCTATTATATCTTATTTTTTCTTTTATCTATTTGTGTGTGTGTGTGTGTGTGTGTGTGCGCGCGCGCGCGCGCGTGTGCGCATGCACATTCTGTCCTTCCACCATGTAGGCCCTGGGAATCAAACTCAAGTCTGTATGGAGCTTAGGTCATCAGGATTGGAGACTTGCTCTGTTGAGCCCTCTCTCTGGCCCGCCCTATTAAGTCTTTCTGTTGTTCAAATGCTTGAGGATTATTGATTTCTCCATAGTCTGACAGTCAGGTGTCATACTGGATCAGTTTTCATTGTTTGTAGTTGTTTTCCCACTAATTCTTCTTAGTTCTTCAGCTAAGCCATCGTTCTATCTGCACGTCTCCACGGTTGTAATAAATGAATAATGGTGACATGAAGATGTAGGGTTAACTTGCTGGTGTACATTTTAACATGGTCTCGAGGTAACTGTTTGATGGAGAAGTGACATAAGCTGTCACGCATGAGCACACACAGAACAACTAGTTTCAGACAACATGAAGCAAAACAAGACACGCGTGCAAGCGAGGGAGTTGTTCTCACACGCAGTTGCTGGTTCATCAGTTGTTTCCTAGCTGGTGGTGACAAAAAAGGACGTAATTGCATGCTGAAGTTAAGAGTCCTGTTGCTGTCGCCGAATAACCAACCGTCAATCTTGCACTCTGTGTGTTCCTTCAGACATGACTAGGTAATTGATAATAAATACAGATCTGACCCTGCGAAGTGCTCTGGTAAGATGTTTTACTGCTCGCTGCTCATGTTATAGTTCCTCCTAAGATTTCATTGGAAAGCCAAGTGTACTTGACAAGAAAAGTGGGAAATGTCCAAAGGCGTCCTGCCTCTCAGTCTAGGACGCTGAGCTGCCAAGGGGAGTCCAGGGCCAGGCAGCAAGCCACAATCTCTACTGTGGAGGAGGCACCTTAGACTCCTGTAAGTGACATTTGGAACAATTCCACTTGTGTGCTTACCTGCAGTGTATGGCTAGTTAAGATAAAGCGGGGTGGGACCCTGGCCTGCCCAGTTGTATCTCTCCTGAGAGCATGAAGGAAGTGATTCATTGACAGCCAGCCAGTCAGACCTTGCTCGGAAAACACAACTCAGTATTGCATCAGCCAACGTTTGAAAACAAAGTGTCCCAGGAAACTGTGTGGAAACTCATCCTATCACTTTCCCTTATTGGTTTAACTCTTTGTTGAGTTAACGAAAGCAGCTGCCGCTCTTGGTTAGTTTTGCTGGTTACATATTCCGGTCACCTCTGGAGGGGCCGAGGGAGGGCTGTCACTCTCATCTTCTCTGAGGGAAATGAGGCCTGCAGGGATCTGGGGTTTGCTCAGGGTTGTGTAAGCAGGAGGTGGTGGAGCCAGTTACTAAATCTAGTTCTGCTTAGGTAGTATGAGGGCATGGACTGTCTTTGGATCTCTAAGAAACTCAGTTTCCTGATTAGCAGAATGGGCATAATACTGTCCAGTAGTGTTGTAAGAGTTTCAGCCAGTATTTTCACATACACAGGACACAGCGTATTCATTGCTTCACCTTTTCTCCCCTCCCAGCATCTCCTTGACAGTTGGTGCAGCAGTTGTAGCCTCAGTTTACATTTCTAAGCATCCATGCCTGATGTCTTACCTACATGGTAGCAAATGAGGGTGTGGCTTATAGAGTCCTCAGCGTAATGATCTCCCTGGGGACTAACCTGAAGCAAATTCCGTCCAGTATTTTAGTTGTTAACCTCTTCGTCTACTTTGCAAAGACCAGGACTATTTTGAGGTGATTAAGATGAAGCCACATTCTATTGAATCCTACCATTAAATGGAGTTAGAGTGCAGTTATAAGCCATGTACCAGGTGACATGTCGGAAGAGGTCATAAGCGGCAGGCAGAAGCAGAATCATAAAAATGCACTTATCTGCCAACGCATTTGTGTAAGGGATGACACTACTGGTCAGGAATTTCCTGCTGTGCCATTTTTTTTCTATGGAACTTTTCAATTGCTTGTAATGGGTCGCTGTGCTTCCTCCCCATGCCTGGCTGTTATCAGCTCCATTCAGATATTCCTTCCTATGTGATTTGGAGTGCTTTGTGACACTTGTGAATGGCTGTGCCTAGCTTCCAGGGACTGGAATGTGCATCTGCATCCAGAAGACTCATCCACTTTACTTCCTCACACATAGAAGTGTTTTAGGCAGTTCCTCTTTTCAAACACGTATTAGCTCTTTAAACCTCCAGGAAAGCGGTTCCGTGAGATCAAAAGCCATGTGTACATTTTGTAAGAAATAATTTCCTACTAAATTAATATGCCAGGTAGCAATGAGGAAATTTCCAGGGAGTCAAGGATGCCAGTTTGAGTACTTTTTTTCTTTTTAATTTGTTTTTAGATGTATTTACTTTATGTGTACAAGTATTCACTGATTTATGCAATTTTTTGTTTGTATTTTTGTTTCAGTTTTGGTTTTTGGCTTTTGGAGACAGGGTTTCTCTGTGTAGGCCTGGCTGTCCTGGAACTAACTCTGTGGACCAGGCTGGCCTTGAACTCACAGAGATCCCGCCCCTGCCTCCTGAGTGCTGGGTTTGAAGGCGTGCGCCACCACTGCCCGGCCTATGCAGTGTTAAATCATGTCTTACAGTTCATTCAGACATCCCAAAGCCCTGAAACAAAGGATCTGCTTGTTTTATCTTAACAGCTAAGAAGATTAGGGCTTCCGGGATGAAACCATGTCAGAGGCTTTTTGACTGAACATCTTCCTGCCTCTCCCATTCTAGTGGCAGGCTCAGTTCGTCAGGCTTGGGACTCTCCAGAGGTGAGGAAAGCTATGCTTGACTGGAGCGTTTAGTGTCAGGTTATGACACTGCTGTCACAGTGTCCACGCCCGTGGTGTTCACGCCCGTGTAGAGCAGTTACTCAGTGGATGCTCGTTGAGAACATTTACACTTGGTTTGCAGCAAATTCTGCTCTTACTAAAATACTAACATTCTATTGATTATGTACGCAACTTCACACCAAGTCAAGATCTGGGCAACTATTTGGTTATTTTGGTCAAGGCAGTTGCTGGTAATTGTTGCTTTTAAGGTTTTTTTAACTTCCTGAATTACACGAAAAAATAATCACAGGGAATATTTGATATATGTATTTGAAGATTTTTTTATAGCTTTACTGCTGAGTTGTTTTTTTTAAATACAAAATATTATTTGTGAGGGACATCAGGAGCAGCAGGGAAGGACAGTGTCACAGAGAACAGTTCTTTCAGGATGGGTCCAAGACCTTCATTGGACAAGGAGCCTCTTCGGGCACCATTTTTTTCTCCCAGTAGGGCAGAGCAAGGCTTCTGTCATTGACTTGACCTCTTTTGATTACTCAGTGATGGCGGCTAGAGAGCCTCCTTGGTGTATGTTCACCCACTTATCTCTAAAGTACGCAGTCTCTCCATCTGCAGAGAAACCCACAGGTCCTGGGCAATTCTTTGCAAAGCTATTTTATTGGTCACTGTGGGTTGCGATTAATGGCATCATTAATTAGAGACTAATCTGGGGGGGAGAGGAAAACGGGATATGAGAGGGAACAGTAAATGCTGAGCTCTCTGGGAACCACTGGGAAGATGTGGAACTGTCACCTTGGAAGCTGCCACCTAGGCTTCCGGGCTCTGGGTGCTTTCCTGCTCACAGGTATCTTCTCCTCGCTTTCAAAAAGCCTGTGAGGTGGCAGATATCACCATTTATGTCTAACGTAGGAGGAAACAGCTTCAGAGAGGTTTTCCTAAGTACCTCAAACTGATGCTATTAGCAAGTAGCTAACAGGATTTGAACTCAGGCTTTTGAACTGAGGCCCCAAGTCTGTGAGTGCATGCGTGTGTGTGTGTGTGTGTGTGTGTGTGTGTGTGTGTGCTCGCGCGCTACCATGTCACAATGCTGCCTATGGCCATCTAAGAAATGCTAACGCTGTAGTAATTTCTCCCCATTTGTTTTTTGGTTAACTGCCCAGCATTCTTTTCAGTACAAGTGCCACACGCTCCGGTTTATTTTCATTCAGAGATAAGAGTACATAGAGAGCTGCAGGTCCTTTTATGGTTTGTTGAAATTTATTCTATATTTACTACTTGCTGTGAATCAGAACGACTTGATTAGTTGAAAATAGAGGCATTAATTCCTGTGTGGGATCTGAATAATGTATGCTGTGTAAATTTCTAGTTTTGCCTTTGGAGCATGCTAATTTGCATTTGTCTCTTGTCTTGTGCTCTTGGCAGAGCATGGAAATTTCAAGAATTAAAATCAAGGGACTACTCCATATGATTTTCTATATTTCATGAGAGGACAGCCGTGAACCTAGGGACGGATTCAAGTGGCCTGAGATTGCAGCTCCAACCCATGTCCTCCTGAGGACAGCCCCAGTGGTCTGCAGGTCAAGAGGACTTTGCCTGGGTCATTTCACCGGCTGATCCCTGCTCCAGGGATCTAGAAGAACACTGTGGGGTGGTTGAGTGTGTGCTGTTGTGTCTTCCATCCCTCCCACCCCCAGCAGGATCTCCAACCTGGGACTGACCTTGACCTCTTGATCCTCCTGCCTCCACCTCCAGACTGTGGGATTATAGATTATGTGCCTGGTTTAGGAGTTTTTCTTCTGCAAATAAAAAAAAAAAAAAAAAGTCACAAGACTGGAAACTTTATGAAGGTTCTGCCCGGTATCAGATAATCATTTACTCATCAAATCTGGGCAGTAAAGTGATCACTTAGCCATTGCCTCTGCTTTCAAGGAACCTGTGGACCAGAGAGGGGGAGAAGATAGAGATAAATCCCAGTGTGGAGGTGTGGAGGGCTGGAGTCACAGGGCCAAACGAGGGCACAGCGGAGAGGGGCTGGGCATCCCCGGAGGTGTCGGGGAAATGTCCCAGGGAGGAGTCATCTATTCCTAGCTACACTGGCCACACCGTTTGTGGGGCCCAGTAACTGAAGACGTTCATTCACCCAGAGACTGCGAAGACTTTCAAAATATCACAGCCCATAGGGCCACTTCAAGGTGAACATCCTGCCACTCAGAACTCCAGCACCCGCAATGGGAAAATGAACCCAAGCTGGGGACCGCTGCTATGTGTTTCTTTTGAAGGGTTCTTATAATCTAATTACAATCCAAGAGAATATTTTTAAATCAATTTGGTATGGCCCTGGTAGTTTTTTTTTGGGGGGGGGGTGGAGAACCAAGGACATTAGAAAGGGTCGTGGGGATGTTTGCTATTTATTGCACTTCCCGCAGAGCTCTGCAGTTGCTGGGAAGTTTGGGGGATATTTACAACTCTCTCCAGCAGCCTGCGCCTCTGAAACGAATGGCATGTCAACGACAAGAAGCTAGTGATTATTAGCATGTCTGCCTGGGATGGAGCAGAAACCCAACCTGCCGATGAGGAGGAGCAGGTCACGTGGCACCTGTGGACTACGTAAGGGCCACCATCACTCGTGGCCTGTGGCTATGCTGTTGGTAGATAGTGCTCTATGTGGACGGGCACCACTTAGCTTCCTGCTGTTGCCAGACTTGGTCATGTGACTCACTTTGGCTCTTTGGAGCGAGAGGAAGTGATGCAAGCTAGGAAGTTCTGGGCCAGCTCTTTAAGGGCCATGGCAAGTTAGTGGTCCCCTTCTTATCCCTGCACCACAAGTCCCATGTGTCCCCTGTCCTTGAGCCTGGATACTGAGTGAGGAAGCTGCAGGGAGCCACAGCCACCACCTGAAATGTGAAGGAGAAGCCACTGAGGTTAGCAGGTTATTTATAAGCTGGGAAGGGGACTGACGTGGTCTAATCATGAACTAGTTCTCACAAGGACAGCGTTCAGCTAAAGGACAGGCAGTGGCCCCACCCTCTGGAGCACAGAGTTGCCCTAATGACAATGGCAGATTCTCCCAGGGGAGGATACACTGTGGGTTCTGCTGATGGTTACAGGATCTGCCGGGAGATCAAGCCGGACCCTCGAGGCAGGAAAGGGTTTGGTAGCTGACAGCCCCTGCCCTGGCTTCCCCGGGCCTCAGCAGTTTGTTGTCCACTTGACCTTGGACACGTTGCTTAGCATCAATTTCCCCATCTGTAAACTTGGAAGACTGTTTCCCTCCGAAGGCCGTGAGGGCGGAAGCTCTGCCTTTTATGTCAGAGTTCCCCTCCATTCAGTTTACCTGCTCTGATTCAGTTAGCCTTTGTGGTTTTCACATCATCTGCCCTTCATATAAAACAAAATAAAGGGGCGGGAGGATCCAGGGAGGTAGGCTGGGAGCTTACCTAATTGGTAGAATATTTTTCTTCTAATACTTTCAAGGCTTGGGATTTAATTCTCAGGATAAAAAAACCCAAAAAACTGGAAAACAGAACAAAAAGACAAAAACGAAAACAAAAGCAGAGAAATGCCTCCCTCAAAGGAAAACAAAACCCCAAATGAGTAGAACCCGGGACATCTGCAGATCCCTGCCTCATGCTCCTTTCTTGTCAAGGGCCTGCACCCTCCTCCTTCTCCAGTGACAGCCATGATCTCCTACGTGGTATTTTCATTTTGATATCTTAAGCCCGTTACTAAATATATTACTTACTGTCATAGTATACCCTGTCCTGGGTAGATAATGCATAGACAGTTAAATTTAAAAAAATGTAACCATAGTCTTTACAAAGGACAAATCTTGGATGAAAAAAAAATGAATAAAGCCTGGGTGTGGTGGTGCATGCCTACAATCCCAGCTGAGGCAAGGAGATGGTGAGTTTAGGGCCAACCTGGGCTACATAGTGAGACCCTTGTCTCACAAACAAAACAAGGAAAAAGACACTCTATTTCTTAAAGGCTAATGATGGAGGAGGCAAACGAGCAAGCTCCTTTCTGTCATTCGTCAGGTATTGTTTTTCTCCCTGTTATCCCGATGGACCAGGCCCTGTCCCATAGGCTCTGGAAATCAAGCAGAAGGAAGAGGGCGGGAAAAGGCCAGTCCTCTTCGAGCTTGCTTTCTAGTGGAGGAAGACAACGTATTCGCAAGCAAACACTGTAAGAGCCCCTCCCACCAAGCATCAAGTGAGGGTCCCCAGGGAGCTCTGCCATGAGGAGACTCAAAGGACGACCACAGCACGGCCGTCTCAAGAAAGGGAGGTAGCAGTCTAGACTATAGGAGCCACAAAAATTAAACACGAAATAAAACAATCCAACCAACAAAGTAGGACTTTATATAAGTTTATAGAATAAGAACTTAAAGTGGCCAGTAAATAACTTGAAAAAGAATATTCAATATTCCTATATATTCCTTTGAATATATAGAATTCAGTATTCCCATCCATTGGACAAAAGCGAATTAAAACTGATTGAGATGCCTTCTCACCCTGGCCAAATGAGAAAGAACTCTTGTTCAGTGATGATGGGAATGTAAACTTGTGCAGCCAGAATAGAAATCAGTGTGGAGGTTCCTCAAAACCTGAACACCAAAACTGCCGGGTGACCCTCGTAAGCCCTCTTGGGAAGCCCTCTGAAGGATGCTGAGCCAATGTACCACAGAGATACCGTGTTTTCACTGCACTAACAATAGTGCGAGAACTGCACTCCAAGAAATGCAGCCGAGCTAGGGGTCCGTCAAAGGAAACGTGGTCCATGCACACGGTGAAAATTTTCAGTCATAGAAGTGAAATCATGCCGTTCGCAGCAAAGTGAAGGGAACCGGAGATCACTGCGTTAAGTGAAGTCAGCTGGATCCAGAGAGACAAATACATGTTTGGGGAATGTGAGAGAGGAGGAAGAGATTGTAGTGGGATACATGTGATGTGAGAGCAGACGGGGGGGGGGGGGGGGGGGGGGGGGGGGAGGGAGAAAGGGGGCAGCGACGGGATCGGGGGGATGGGAGGGAGCTGTGAGGGACGGGATGATAACAAGGTATAATGACATGTATGCATGTAGTGCGGTAAAGAAACTCATGAATGATTAAAGAGGGAAGGGAGGTGACGTTTATGGGGCCGCTGGCTTCGGCTAGTTTATCTGTGTATTTCGTTAATTTTCATGAGGGCTCCTAGTGGATCCATTTTTCAGGTAAGAAGTTTTAAAGTTCACGGTGGTCAGCCAGCTTTCCCGAAGGAGCGGGCTGGTGAAGAGAGACTTTTGATCCTTCCCTCCCACTTCCTCAAACCCGATGAGTTCTTTTCAGCAGGAAAACCACATGCTTTTCTGCCCTACCCTCACCACTACCCTCAGTCATGCTCTTTTTAGACAATCAATTATTGTATCCTGGAATAAAGTTCAGTCTCCGCTTCCTGTGCCGTGACAGGCAGGCCCTCCGATCCACTGTCCTACCGCGTGTTGGCTGCCCCTCGGCCGGCCCGTTTCTGTGAAAGGACTGTGCCGGCCATGGGGTCTCCCGTTGGGAGCCAGTGGCTCCTCCACCACTGGATTGTTGTGGATTCTCTCTGGTGTGACCAAGGTTGTGTCTAACTGATCACTCGCTCTCAGAGCCCAGGGAACCGAAGACGCGAGTCCCCCAGACTGCAGTAAAAGCCCAAAGGATTCCTTTCCTCTGTGGGAAGAGATGTGCCTTAGAGGCACTGCAGGGGCATACCAGGGCAGTTCCAGCACAGCACGGGACAGGAGGACGGCTCTGGAACCAGCCTAGGCGATGATGAATCAGTTTCAAGTCCCAAGCTCAGTTATAGGAGGTGCTAGCTCTACTCCCAGCCCTCCGAGGACCCGTGGTGCAGGTTCAGGTGACTCAGAATGTCTCTTTCCGTGGAGGATGTTACTGCTCATTACCAGAAGACGACTCAGCCTTGGCCTTGAGGGAAATCTTGCATGCCCAGCCTAAATGGCATAATCTCATTTGAAACACAAAGATCTTATGATTCTGAGCAACATGGAGAGAGAAAGAGCTCCCATCTGGGTCAGGTCTCATCAGCGTGGTCATTTCCAACAGAGAACTTATCTCTAGGTAACTGTCACATTGGGGATGCAGTGTGACAGATGTCATACTGGCAGTATGCTTACATCTGTTCAAGAAAGCTTGGCAGCAGAGGAAACTGGGAGCACACCCCTCTTGTCATCTGCCGACTAAGCTGCCTCGGTTGAACACGGGTCACTTGACGAGAAAGTTCTATTCTTGCTTGCCAGTTGGGGATACTGCGTCCTACCCTAGACGGGGTGTGGTGTACGCACATGCATTAATGTAGACCCAGCTCGCTGGGTGTGTGGCAGTGGCTGGGGCCTTGCCAGCTTCATCCTCCTGCTTCTCACAGCACACGCCCTTCTAATGTCTTGGAGGCACCAGGCTCTGTGCCTTCCAACTCTGGGGCCATGTTCAAACTTGTCCTCAATAAGTGTATGGTTTGGGAGGGGGACAGAATGCAGAAATAGACAGCCAGCGGTGACTTTGAGGAGACGGGGAGTCTGCACCCTTTCCTGGCCAAGCTGGCAGCCCCAGAGAAAGTGGCCTGGAACTCAGAGATGACATGGAGGGGATGGTAGGAAGTGTGAGGCGGGGGAAGGAAGAACTGGCCCTCAGTGAAGTTTGTTTCAATTTACATCAGGGGCTCAAGATAGCTGGCGTTAATACCTCATTACTGTTTGGTTTATTGGGTGCCCGCATCCTGGTTTTGTGCTAGGATCACCTGGGGAGACTTAAAAGGGTGTAAATACTTGGCCCCCTTGTGGGGGATTCTAAGTGGAAGGGTTGTGAATGGAGTCCCGACATCTACAGCAAACGAACCCTCCATGGGGCCCCATATCAAGGAAGCAGTTCCGGGCTTGGCTCATCTTTGAAAATACAGTACTTTTCAAAAGGACCAACACTAATCACATGATTACTTCTTTGAGAGAAAAGTCCCTCCGGTTTATTTAGTCCTGTGTGCCAAGACAGAAATGGGACACTCAGTGGAGTAGCCCAGTGTTAGCTGTTTTCACAGAAATGACTGTGGAGATGTGTTTGCTGCTCCTCTTAATTCTGTACGTTGAATAATGAAGACAGTAGTGTGTGTGTGTGCGTGTGCGTGTGCGTGTGCGTGTGCGTGTGTGTGTGTGTGCGTGTGCGTGTGCGTGTGTGCGTGTGTGTGTGTGTGTTTTGGGTGGAGGAGGGTTGAGACAGTGACTCGTTTTTCACAAAGGCTGGTGGTGAATTCATAGTCGTCCTGCCTCAGCT